ATAGGGCAGAGCACCCAGCACATGGCGAACAAGAAGGCTGCAGAACCAGCAACGCAGCGAGGGAGCCATGGTTTTTTTTAGTGGTTTGCATCTTCTCCATACAAGGAGAGGCCAACTGTGCTTAGAGGCAGCCCACAGTAGTCACAGTGGATTGTATTTTCCTCCCACTCATATGCAGAGGGGGAGTAATGCTTGGTACTGAGTAAAGGAGGCTGTAACTTGCTATCCAATCCCTTCCCACACCTGCCTTTGGGTCAGCCAGGACCTTCTCACCACATGATGACTAGCAGAAAAGCTACAGTGCCCTCCAAGCGGAGCCACTTGGAAGAGTGCAAGCAATCTTCCCATTCCCAGCACTCATTTTTGGTGGAGCCTAAAAGCAGGCCTCTGCGTGCTCTGGTCCATGGGGTCACGAAGAGTCGGACACGACTAAACGACTAAACAACAACAACAAAAGCAGGCCACTTAGCACTTTCTATTATGGGAGCAGGGTGGGGAGGAATTCTTCAAGTTTCTCAAGTGAGGCTGGTGGTCAGGGAAGTGAAAGCGGTAGAGTCCTCACAAACAGCAGGCCCTTGTACCCCCACAAGAAGAAGAAATCCCCCTCAAATAGCCATAAAAAGCTGGGCATAAGAAGAAGAGGCATGTTAAGTTAAGAGATGCTAGAGCCCAGAAAAGGGGGACACCTCCTTTTCCCGAAGCCTTTCCCCCCCCCCCTGCAAAAAATTGAAAAATCGAATTATTGTTATTTGGGGGATTATGAAATACTTTCTTTTAGAATGATGAACAAAATGTTGAAGACGAAGTGCTCATATATTTACTTGCCCAAAATAATTTCTAATACTGTGTAACTGGAAGACTTTTATGCAAGAATGTTGGTAGTTAATGTTTTATTGTTGGGACCCATAGGTATTTTAGGAGAAATTGGCACAGTTTTCCTTCTCTTAACTTTGGACCCCTTTAAATAAATAAGTAAATAAAGAAATAACAGCAGCAGCCTTGATGGGTCCCTTGTGTCGTTGGCATTACCTTGAGGGTATTGTGTTTTGGTGCCAGGCGATTGGGATGATGTGGTGACGATGAGTTAACAATCTGATTGCTGGGTTCTTCAGCAGCTGAAGCTTCTTGACATTTTTAAAAGACAGCCCCTTATAAAGCACATTACAGTAATTATACAATCCTAGCTTTTATTAGAAGTTGAATGACTGCAAACTTAATTTAGTGAAAATACCTCTCCTCTTGTCTGCCTTCAGTATATTGTAGAGTGACTGGTTTGGTGTAAGAATTTAAATCCAGGTATGTCTCGGGATACAATGGAGGAGTGCGTCTTTGAGGGTGAAGTCAAGCTGTTGTAGAGACTGATACAGGAGAGACATGTTTTGTTGCAGTTGGGACAGATGAGGATGATATAAGATAGATGAAGAATTGAACCAGAGAATTGTAGAGTTGGAAGGGATCATGAGGGTCATCAGGCCCAATCCACTGCAATGCAGGAACCTTTTTGCCCAGTCTGGGGCTCAAACCCATGACCTTGAGATTAAGTGTCTCCTGCTTTACCAACTGAAGATATAAAAACTTTGGGAAAAGATGACACAAGTTGAGGCGGGGATGGATTTTTATTAGTTTATTGATTTGACATAAATCTCTCCCCATTTAGAGGAGATCTACAAATCATAAACCATTTTCAAAAATACTAATCTTTACTCTGAGAAAAATAATACTGTTAATAATGGCACTGTTGTGCTGACTTTCAGAACACATATAAATCATATACAGTACTCTTTAATGATCTAGAGAAGTTTATTTTTAAATGATGATAAATTTGTATCTTAGGAAATAATTTAATAAATTCTTTAAAATGTTCTTTTTACATCAGTAGATTGCTTCTCTCTGCATATATACAGTAATATTCATTGTAATGTCAGTTTGGCTCATATATACAAAGTAACTGGAAACCTTCAGGCATTGAAATGGAAAGGCCCCACATTTTATAAGTAGAAAGTTAATATGCTTTAAGAAAGAACATAATTCAATTTTAATTCTTTAGAATTCTTTATCTTCACTGCTTTATATTTCCCCTTAGACTCATAGCTTTTTATTGGCATAAAGGTGGCAGACCTGTAGTCTTCTAAGTTATTTATGTGAAAGCTTATCTGAAAATCACATGTGATGCAAAGTTTATGGAAGTGTGTTTGCAATTCCTGTTCGGCATTGTAGAGGTAAAAATAGCACAGGGTGGTTTTGTGGAACATTATCTGGAAAGCAGCTAAAAGATCAGGTAATTTACATGTGTTACACACACACACAATCTTTAACCAGTTTAAGAGAGAAAACACAGAACTGGGAAATAACCACAAATGAAAAATTTGCAAACATTTTGAACAAAAGTGGCTCAAAATGTAAAACAATCTTCATATTAATGACTTACAGAGTTGATTGCATAAAAAGTAACCTTTCCATATATCTAACATGCTGCCCTTTTCGATTTTCAAAGTACTGTTGCTTTTCTAGAACATTGCACTGTATCGTAACTCAATTGAATTTGAGCGTACTTCCAAGTAAAAAGCATGCCTGAAGTGCAGGAGGCAGGAGATTCTGTTGACTACGCAAAGGCAGATAGTCAGACCCTTGATATTTATATTGGGCCTGATCAATCCAGGGGCTTCATGGTGTCTGCCAATCACAGGGACTGATGCTGGGGTTCAAGCTTATATCTAAAACGAAATATCCAATGAGCTGAAATGAAAGTCCCAGACATATTGTTGAATAAAGCTCATGAAACTAACTTCTGAAAAAGCATTATTTCAAATCCATTGTGATGTTTTAAGTGTTACAGAGCAGACCAACAAAAAGAAAAAGAAAAAGTAAACAAAACTTCCTAATGCATTACAGTGGTACCTTGGTTCTCAAACGCCTTGGTTCCCAAACACCAGAAATCCGGCAGTAAGTGTTCGGTTTTTGAACGTTTTTCAGAAGCCAAACGTCTGATGCGGTTGTCGGCTATTGTTTCCAGGGTGCCTGCACCAATCAGAAGCTGCACCTTGGTTTTCAAACATTCGGAAGTCAAATAGACTTCCAGAACAGATTAAGTTTGGCGCTTTTGTTTTTGCTATTTTGCGTTTTTGGTTTTTTTTTAGGCTTTTTCAGTTAATTTGTTTTTATGACTGTGTGGAACCCAGTTCAGCTACTCATTGATTGATAGTGCAACTACGGAAATGGATAAAAGCCCCCCATCCAAACAATGACTATTATCAGTGCAGGTAAGAAAAAAAATTAATTTTAATTTTTATCATCTACAATACTGTCCTATTTATTTTATAGTACAGTAAATTGATTATTGCTTTCATTTTATGGATCAATGGTCTCATTAGATAGTAAAATTCATGTTAACTTCATGTTAAATTGATGTTTAAAAGTCTGGGACGGATTAATCTGTTTTGCAGGACTTTCTGTAGGAAAGCGCACCTTGGTTTTGAAACAGACTTCTGGAACGGATGAAGTTTGAGAACCAAGGTACCACTGTACACATGCCTCGTTTTGTGGATAAATTTACATTTTCTGAAGCAGAGAATTTTGTGAGTGGCAAAAGAAATTACTGATATTCTGTCTTCTGCAATTTAAGAATGTTTGTGGAATTTACAAAGGAGATTATTCCAGTACCAGTTCACTATGCTTAGATTCGTTTTTAGAACACACCTGGCAATATTAATAGACCAGATGTATTTGGTTAAATATTTCTCTACTGAGAAGGAGTCTCTACTTTGATAGGAACAGATTTGACAATATAAGGGTTATAGCCTTCTGGGCAGTTTCAGTGCTTAAAATAATAAAAGGCCATTGTGATTTTATAATGCCTACGCAGGACTGAAACACCAAGTAGATACTGTAAATCAGAACATCAGGTCCTGAAGTCATGCAATTTCAGCTTTGTTTTGTTTAGCTCTTTTTACAACTTGTGTAGCACAAAAAAGCTGAATATAACCTAAGTGAATCTGATTTTTTGATAGTCGAGTCTAAAGATCTAAACTAAGAATTGTGAAATATCCTGTATTTTAGTCCACTCAGTTCCAAGAACCACTGTCTTAGAGATCCCTTCCAGTACTACCTTGACAAATGATGTTGTGTGGCAGCAAGAGAAGAGAGCAATCACCCCAGAGGTCTTGCTCACTCATTTATGCAGTGGAAATAAGATGCTATGTTAAGTTCTTGCCAAAACTATCTTATTAGTGCATATCAGGACCAAATGGGGCTAAATGTCCAATTCTGATGTAGAATTGGTATGCTTTCAATTACTGAGCCTATGGGGTTTAACTGGAGCTGCAGTAGGAAGTAAATAGAGTTTTGTATTAGTGGAGAAGATACCAGGGGAAACCTTGCATCTCTGGTACTGATAATAATATTTTGGTGTTAAACATACTTGGACCTTGGACCTGCAGTGAAATTAAGACTCTGAATATGAAATACTGAAGGACAAGTCACTTACGAGACTAAACATGTGAAAAATTCAGAATCATGTACTCTGTCAAGGGGATTTGGAGAGCATTGGGGGGGAATATACTGTGATGGTATAAATAGTGTGAAACGTAGTGTGCCATTAACTTACATTTATGTGATCCTGCTGGATAGTCCTTTATGTGGACAAACTGCAACAGAGTGAAGTTATATTAAAGAGAGTTTGAAGAAAATACACGTAACGGAAATATGTATTCAATAAATGAATGTAACTATATTTAAAAAGTAACTTAGGATGTTTCTTTGAAAAAATATGTCTTACTAATAGAATCAGAATCAGGCTGTGAAGAACAGAATGTAGCTGTATTAAAGTGTGGATACGAGCAAAAATATTTATGTGCATGATTATCCATCTCTACAGCCTGATTTCTCCATGTATAGTGCACTCTGTGTGTTCATGAAGCAAAACAAGTTTTTTCTTAGGCAAAAATGAGCAGCCATATGCATATATCTGAGGTGCTTCTACAAACCCACTAAGATTTCCAGTTTCATCCTTCCACCTGCAATGCCCCATACTGCACTGAATGGTGTTCTGGATGGTCTTTGACCTTCTCAGATGCTATGTCTGGAGACAACTGGAACTGTAGCAGGGGCGGCCTGGGATGTATTGCCGCTTGAGGTAAAATAAAATCCACTGCCTGAGACTGCCACCTCACCTCATGGGTGGGCCCTGAGCAGCAGTGCATGTGTGCACAGGATTTCTTATGTGGCCCTTCAGAGCCTAACCTTTGCCTGCTCTTTTCACTGACTTGCAATATGTGACAAGAATGGAAGAAAAGCAGCACCATCTAAGGAGGAAGTGGGCCAAATCAGCTAAAAAACTAGGGCTAGAATGATCAGAATCCTGCTCCTGATGCATTTCATAGGCTGCATATTCACACAAGTTGCTGTTCTGTGGCACAAGTGAATTAGAGTTCCCTCTCTTCTGTCTTTCATTTAATAACGAAAAGATAACAAACACTTGTAAACCTTTAAAATTACTCCTTTCCATTACAGAAGTAATACTTTTAAAACCACAATTATTTAGCCCCTAAAATAATGTAGTTAATTCGCATGAATATTTGGGGACCATAACAATTAGATACACACTGTTTAACCCATGTGCTTTTTTATTTTTTCATATTAAATTTGTCCTTCATTTTATTAGGTAAAGCAATATTTTTGTTTTTCTTACTTTTTCTAAAAGTGGCTACTTCTGACTGATTGAAATGTTTTTGTGATACAAAGTAAGAAAAAACATATAAATGCTTCTTTTGATGCATTGCTAAATGTAGGAAAACATGAATAATTAAAGATACATTAAAACAAATATTAATTTGCAAATAATCTGTTTTAGAATTGCAAATAGACCCTCCTTTTACAATACGATTTTGCAAAATAAGCAAGAAAATATAATTAAATACTAAAGTAATTTTATCCTTGATACTTCATTGTTTAGAGTGCTACACAGTTGGACCAGTATGATCATTAGTGGAGAGTATCTCAATGAAAAGGTACTCTCCTCATCTTGAAATAAAACCACTTTGTAAAATTAAAAATCATGTTATTTTATATGGAACATAAAAAATACCATATTTGTTTAGCTCTAGAAGATTACAAAGTGCTAGGTGTTCAGTCAAAGCTTTTTGGCCCTCTAGTGATTATCTCCAGGCAGAATTCTCAGAACAAAGCTCATATAGTGTAACTGAATCAGTGCATTGAAATCTCAGAAATCAAAGGGTAACCTGCAGATGGAATCTGAACAATTTTCTAACCATCTTCATTACCTGTATAGTTTAAAACTGAGAGCTCCTGATTTACAGTGTAAACCCCCTTTCCTATCATCCTTGCTAGGTGACCTGCACAAAAGAGAAACTTGGAGAATAAGAGAATAAGCTTTCCAAACTAGGTTCTGGCCCACTGGCATTCATTCATACCTACGTTATAACTTGCTGAACAACCGTGCGTTCATGAGAGCATCCTTGATTTCCACAGTGCAGTTTTTTAAGCAGCCTTCGCAATTTGATTGGAAAGTTTTTGTTGATGTATCGGTAAAGTAGAGGCATGACAAAACTGCTTGAAAAAGCCAAGAATTTTGATAGTCCCTTGGTAAAATGTAATACTCTAGTGTAATTTTCATCCGTAACTTTTCCTTGCATACTAGTTAATGTGTTTACTAGAAGAGTTACATAATAAGGTGTCCATAATGTGAACTGTGTACAAACAGTAGCAATCAAAAGCCTGTGTACTGATGGATCTAATCTTCCAGTGTCTTGGTCCAGCGGTGTTGCCTCTTTGCGTATTCGCAGAATTAACACAAGCGCATACAGCACAGCAATGGCTGGTACGACGTATCCAATAAAAACCATGATGGCATCTGCTGCTTCTTTGTTCTGCATTTTGGAACATTCTATTATTTTAGTGGAGACATGGTTGCAGACATAAAACAGAAGAGATGAAAAGCTGGTAAGCATAGCTCCTCCCCAAATAAATCCACATACATGCTTTGTGTTGTATACACTAGACATGTAAGTTCTTGGCAAAGCACGTTCAATGTAGTAGTCCAGGCTGAGCAGTGTGGTAGAATACATGATAACCAGAGATGATACATTGAACAAGATAAGCAAGGTAATGTAGACTTCATTGTTGAAACTCCAGATGGCCCATTTTGTACTGGCAGGTCCTAGAAGGTACATTGGTGCAATAGCATTGATGATGAGGCCAGCAATTGCAATATTGACAAAGTAAACATCTGGCATGGTCATAGTTGCTTTGTTGTATAGGTTGACTAGCACCAGTAGGGCATTATAACACAGGCCAATGGGGAAACAGATGATGAGGTAGAGCAATGAAAAAATGGAAAGTACAAGATGGAAATCATGGCAAAGATGCTGGTCCTCTATGCTTTTGGTACCATTGAAAGATTCGCAGTTCCACATAGTGACCTTAACGTGTATGTCTTCTCGGCTGGTCACCAGCTTTCCTAAACGGGGGGAAAAGACAGTATATATATTTCTTTTTTAAAAAAAAAATGAAAACAATTCATCATTTTCTTTCATCTAGATATAGTGCTATTTTTCTAGAAAAGAGGTACGGAACTCACCATGAACATCTCACTGGTTCTGTTATAATGGCAATGGTGCCTACCTGAGAGGTGCTGCAACTGAGTTCCGGATGAAAAAAAGCCCTGTCTAATTACCTACACATTATAGAAGTTTAAAATATCATTTAGAGTACAGTGGTACCTTGGGTTACTTCGCTTCAGGTTACATACACTTCAGGGTACAGACTCCGCTAACCCAGAAATAGTACCTCGGGTTAAGAACTTTGCTTCAGGATGAGAACAGAAATTGTGCTACGGAGGCAGCAGGAGGCCCCATTAGCTAAAGTGGTGCTTCAGGTTAAGAACAGTTTCAGGTTAAGAACAGACCTCCGGAACGAATTAAGTACTTAACCCGAGGTAAAAAGGTAAAGGTACCCCTGCCCGTACGGGCCAGTCTTGACAGACTCTAGGGTTGTGCGCTCATCTCACTCTAGAGGCCGGGGGCCAGCGCTGTCCGGAGACACTTCCGGGTCACGTGCCCAGCGTGACGAAGCTGCTCTGGCGAGCCAGCACCAGCGCAGCACACGGAAACGCCGTTTACCTTCCCGCTAGAAAGCGGTACCTATTTATCTACTTGCACTTAACTGTGCTTTCGAACTGCTAGGTGGGCAGGAGCTGGGACCGAACGACGGGAGCTCGCCCCACCGCGGGGATTCAAACCGCCGACCATGCGATCGGCAAGCCCTAGGCGCTGAGGATTTACCCACAGCGCCACCCGTACCACTGTATATTTTTATAATTTGAAGACTGGAATATAAAGTCATCAAGACTGGAATATAAAGTCATCAATTTCCTTGTGCCTGTCTAGGATGGCATGCTTCATGACAGCTATTTTCTGCTTAGCATGGCTGTGATACTGACTGGATAATAATTGCTGCTGTTTAACCTAAACATTTCCTTCCTCGATTTAAGGTGTTTTTCTCTTGGAACCACAGCTAGCCTTTGTTCTTCCTGTGGCTTATAGCAGCTACATTGGCATTCAAAAATTGTTTTTATGTTGAACCCCTCCTATATTGTGCTCTTGCTCCTTTTAACTGATCTGGCCATTCTGTTTTTCTTCTCTATGTGTTTGATATGACATTCGATGAGACCTAAATGGCATTACCTTTCTCCCTTCTTTTAAACGCTGCCTCAAAACTCTCCTCTTCTATGAAGCCTTTGGCTTAACCATACAAGTTCTCACACCCAGTTGAAAGGAAATCTAAGCAGTATAACAGTACTTGTACATATTTTGCCCCTGTGATCCTTGCTTCTTTCCCCTGCTGTCAAAGCATAAATCTTAAACTCCTTGGGCCAGGGATATAACATTTAATCTGTGCATCCAAAGAACTCTGATATGAATTTACCAACAAGCAAACTGAGGTTGAGACCTATATAGTGGCAGTAACTGTATCCCAGTTCTTAGCCACATCTCCACAGGAAGATGCTTCTTCAGTTAAAAGGTGCACAACCTACTCTAATAGAGTGCTGCTGCCAGCAGAACAGAAAAGCCTCTAGTCTCACTGGGGCTTCTGCAACGGAGTCCTCTAAGGACAGCAGTGCCACAACTTGGAGGACAGTTCCAGCTCCACATTTGGAAGGGCACTAACTACAGACTCATCTTGTGGAAGTGCATCTGTGGCTGGCACTATTTTCCCTTCATCTTCTGGTTTGGAGATACCGACTTCATTCCCAGAAGAATTGCTGGGGGTGGAATGCTTTGTATTTTATAATTTTTAACAGTGTAATCCACCTTGAATCCCAACCTGGGAGAGAAATGTAGTATAAAATATATTAAACAAATAAATAAGGGGATTCTTAATTCATGGTCATGGCACCTCCTCTCCCCCTCCCTCCCTCCTCCCGCTCTTTCTTTCTTTCTTTATTTCAAAAAAGCAAAATCAGGCTATACCCTTAAAGTGCATTCAGAGCACATTTCCCCATCAAAGAATTCTAGGCAGTGTAGTTTGTTAAGGGTTGCTGGGAATTGTAACTTTGTGAGGGTTACTGTGTCCAGAATTCTTTGGAAAAGTTTGTAATACTGATTGACATGGTTGCCTCTTAGCTACACAGGAATAGCTTGGCTGAGGTGTGAAAAGGAATTGCGTGGGTGTGCAGCTGGAGAACCTGGCCCCAAATCAACTTAGTTCCACTGCTGTTGTTTTTAAGCACATGTGTTTTGTTTGTGTTTTCAATTATGCACCCCTAATCTATCTCAGGAATCAAGAGAGCTCCAAAAGTTTTATCAGGCACAGAAGCGGCTGGATAATTTATAAGAACTGACCTCCCTCTCATAAGACAGTTTTCCCTTCTGGAGCAGCAAGCAAACGCTTTTGCAATTGCTTTGATCATAGCTTAATTTAAAGGTGTGTTATTTCTGCATATAATGATTTCCTATTTTATTAAACTGAAGGATTAGCATAGCATACCTTATGACACTTAAATAACGTATGTTTATCTTGAAAATCTAAAGCACTGCACATAATTCAACTGAAAAAATATTAAGATAATATTCAATATTTTAACATCATGTGTACATGAAACTGATTTCACTGAGTCAGGATATTGCTCCATCTAGCTCAACAAGGTTTCAGGCAGAGACAGCAATACCATGTCAGTTCTCAGTCTCCTTTTTTTAAACTAAAGATGTCAGGAATTAAACCCTGCAACCTTCAGGTTGCAAAGCATATGCCATACCCCTGAGCTGTGGACCCACCACAACTGAGACCAAGCAGAAACCCAGGAAATTTGAATATGACTTTCTTTGATCCAATTTACCAAACACTGCTATTATGCAACTTCCTCTCAATTCAGTGGAAGAAGTCAGTTCTAAGGAAATAAAGTGATTAGGCAGCAGTCACTGGTGGATTGCATCTTTTGAGTTCATCAGTACCATAGACTTACGTGTAAACCTGCAATCTTCACTACCTCTCTTGTCTTTTCCAAGACAGGGGCAGGTTATCTATTCATACCCTTAGACTTAGTCCCACACAGCCATTATTTAAACAATATTATCTCTCATCATATTTCTTCTTATGCAGTGAAAGTGGCCCCAGTGTTTCCTATATAATGCCAAGATAAACCCTCCATAATCCCCAAGATTAACTGGTGGTTTTTTTGAAGAACATAAGACGAACACTTCTAGATGAGGCCAAAGACCCATCTCGTCCAACTTCCTGTTCTCACAGTGACCAGTCAGATACTTATGAGAATCCTGCAAGCAGGACCTGAGTGCAGCAGTGCTCTTCCCACTTACGATCCCCAGCAACTGGGATACCGTGGAGGTAGAGCATAGCCACCATGGGTAATAGCCATGATAGTAACTGATTTTTGGTGAAATTATCATGGTTATTCTTTCTGTTACATCATTTGAGTAATAAAAAAATTACATCATTTGAAAGCCCACAATAAAAATTTATCTAGGAGGTAGTGAGACATCCCTACCCCTATCCCAATGAAATCGGGGTTTCAGTCTGAAAAAAATATATTTTGCTAGATAACATGTCATTTGATTTGATTTTGTTTATTTTTCAGATAAAAAATGCAATTTTATAGTACCTAGAGAGCAGTTATTCCTGGTAAGGTAAAGTACCATGTGTTGCTTAGTACAATAAAAACCTTTGTATGAACGTGTGTGTTTCTCCAAAGGCTTATACTGTATTAAGTTTTAAATAAATTTTTGCTTCTTTAGAATATTGTATTACTAAAACTTTTTGCATAACATTCACTCTGTTTTGATTCTCAATTCTTACAGCTGTCATGCCCACTGCCTTACCTCAAACTCCCTTTCCCTGCTGCTACGAAACCTCTCAAACTCCTGCCTTCAATTCATGTAGCATTTTCCTTTGTACTTCGGAGTCCAGATATGGCTGATAAATAACATCTCAGGAGAAGAAAGCATGCCGAAGGGTGTTGTATTTTCCCTCTTGGAACACATAGTGATCTTCTGCGATCGCCAGGAGCCTTACACAGCTTGGTAGTTTTTCTGCATGTGTGCTGCACTTGTTTTTCCTCTAGTAAATTACTCACAAAGTTTCTGCTTCTCTTGGCAAGCCAAGGCTAGCTCCTCCCTTTCTCTGTTTACAGCCAGTTTCAAGAAACAGGAGGCTGATCTCAGAGGGGAGTGTTTCCTGACATTACACTCTGCTGAGTGTTGGCTGCTTCCGATTGATTGGTAGAAAGGGAGATGTTCCTGGAAGACTCCAGTTTGGTGTTCAGTTACAGTTGCTCTATCTCTCTCTCTCTCGCCACCCCCCCACCCCGCTAGCTGCCTGCCTTTTTCCAATTCCGCCGGGTTAGTTTACTGCATTCTCAGTAGAAAGCAGTTTTGCCCTTAGCTGGCAGATTCCATTGAAGGTATGAAATGTCTTACGGGAAACTGTTATTGGGAAAATCAGTTTTCTCTTTTGATTTTTTTGAGGTTAAGATATTCTGGGCAGCAGGGCTTAATTCCACTGATTTTTTTTATAATTAAAACATATCTTAGCATTGTGTATATAGATCTTGACAATGAACAATTCTAAAAGTTTTTAGATATGCTATAAGCCGCCCAAATTGGCTGAGGTATAAATAATGATGATGACAATGACAACAACAACTAATAGCTACTAGCCAAGATGGCTATATTAACTCTTCTATTGGACGCAGTAGGTGCCTCTGGATACAAGGTGCTGGGAATTATAAACAGGGCAAATCTTTCTATGATGGTTTTACTCCGTTTCTCTGTCTCTCTGTCTCTCTCTCCACCCCCTCCCTGCCCCCCATTTCAAAATCAGTTTGCAGTTTAACAGGGGGAAGGTGCAGAATCATTATGAAAATTCATCAGCATTTTACTGTGCATTTGTCCTAATATAACCC